AAAAACTAAAATAGCTAACTTTCCAAACGAGGCCTGTGTCACGATGATCAAAAATATATTCTATTTTGGTCTCGTTTGGAAAGTTGGATATTTTAGTAGGTTATTTTAGTTTTTGGCTATTTTAGTAGGCTAAAATTTTTGTGTTTGGGAAAATGGTTGGATTTTTTTTAGTTAGATATAATGTTTATGAGAGAAAAAGTAAAATGATTATGAGTTTAATGTGACATTGTATCTTACTGATTATTTTAATCTATTTTGTCTTTTCTGTAGATTTTAGCCCCCAAAAAAACCAAAAAATCTTTTGCCAAATAGGGTTTATCTCATTTTATAATTCATTTCCAATCATACAAATGGTATTATTAATTTTATTTATTATGGTATCACTACAAAAAATTAAGATTTTAGGACCCAAAATTTAAAGACAAAATTATTTTTAGGGACTAAATATTTTTCTTGCAAAAAATATTGTCATTATATTTTTATTAACGAAAATTGGACATTAGACCATCTCCAATCCTGAATCAAACCTGGCATCAAATTTAAAATTTGGTGAAAAAGTTACTGTTTGGTGCTCCAACGGTTGCACCAAATCGATATCAAATTGAGATTTCAGCAAACAATTCATCAAACTGAGGATAGAATACATATTTCATCAAAACACTATGTGTGACCGTTGGAGGGAGGAACTGGTCAACCAGTCGGTTGCCCGGCCGGTTGACCAACCGGTCGACCGAATTCCTAGGTTCAAACCAGTCAAAAAAGGTTCAAACAGGTAAAATATATATATATATATATATTTACCTTACCGGTTGACCGGTCGGTCCCGGTCAACCCACCAACAACCTTGAACCAAACCAAACCTGAGCATCTTTTTTCAGAGGCTGTGTTGAAGGAAGCTGTGGATTTGGTAATCGATCTGAGAGAATTATGACTATTTGTCTCATTTGGGTTTTAATGGAATTGAGGTCTGTGAATGTAGGAGAATCTGAGATGTAGCAGAGAAGGTCTCTCCACTGAGTCTGCTCAGCAGAGGTTGGAGCTTTTTGGGCACAACAAACTTGAAGAGAAGGAGGTGCTATTTCTTACTAATACCCTCTTTGGGGTTTATGTTGGGTTTGTTTTAGGAGAGTAAATTCTTGAAGTTTTTGGAATTTTGTGGAACCCTCTGTCATGGGTTATGAAAGCTGCTGCTATCATGGCGATTGCCCTTGCCAACGGTGGAGTAAGAACTCATCGTCTTGATTTGTATAACAATATCCATCTTTGCCTTCCCACTTCACTGTTAGTGGGTGAAAAAAATAATAATGGCCTTACCGATTGACCGGCTGGTTGACCCGTCGGTCGACCAACCGGTCGTCCCTCCCCCTTTTGATGCACCTTTTGATGCACCGTTGGAGCCAGTGGTATCAAATTGAGAAAATCATCATTTTTTTTCCTCAGATTTGATAAAAAAAGAAGTTCACGGTTGGAGATGCTCTTAGTGATGGATTATTATTCTTTTGGAATCAAATATTTTGTTCCAAAAAATAAAACCATTTTTTGGTATAATTATTTTATCCCTAAAAGTCTATTTATTAGTGTCGTTTTCAAAATTCTTATCGCTAAAATTCTTATTTTTGACTTTTCGAGACGACTTTTTAATGACTATCCTAAAGACAATAGAAATTGATTCTTATATGTCTTTTTTTGAAACCAAAACATTTAGTTTTTAAAACTCTAATATGTTATAGTGTACTATAAAAGGGTAGAATTTCAAAGGTTAACCTAATTGTGGGAAGATGCCTTTATTAAGTAAATAAATATCATTAAATGAATTTGGATCAAAATCAAGAGAAATGGGTCAGCTAGAAGACCGAACCATGTTCGACCCATTTAGGCCAAATGGGCCAACAACATGTGTCCAATGAAACTTGCTAAGGCATTACTTACCGAGACCCAATTGTTGAGGTAAATCTCACCTCGGTATCGCCATCCTGTCAAGATTATTGTGGCATCGCCTTTAACACTTACTGAGGAGAATGAAATCTTCGCAACTTAAACCTCCGCAACTACCTTTTGAAACGCGACTCCCCAAGGTGATAGCAGCCTTAAAGGAAGACCTCCTCCATACAGAGCAGTGTATGGATGCTTGGTACTGATAGCAAGCCCGAGATACGTATAGCTTGGAGTTGATAGCATGCCTCAATGTTTACTAATTGGAGCTGATAACAGGCACCAATGATGCTAGTTTACCATGGCGATCCCATGAAGATGGGACTAGGGTAGCCCAAAAGTAAGAGACTTCTGTCCCATGTACCCAGGTCAAGAACCTATCTTGGTTGCACAAGCAAGGCCAAAGAAGCTCCCTTAGGCTTGGTACGAGGCACAACTCTTGCTGTGGGTCGCATCCTAGGAAGTCGTAGAATTTGTGGTAGATACTAGTATGGTTGATAGCAAGTCATAAGTCTTGAGAATACATGTCTTGAGAAACCGAACTGAGAAGGCGGGTGTTGCGGTAATCAAGATACCTGTTGAGGTTTGTACCAAAAAAGACATGTGCTAAGACTCGTGCCAAACAAATAGTACAGTGGCACTTGTTGAGGTTTTATGCTAAATAGATAGTACATGTCAACGGACTCGTGTCTACCAAGGCCTGGTGGTTTAGGACAGAATATTTTGTAACACGTGTCGTTGCATTGTTTAGCCACTTGCTATATTCTAGTACGAAGGAAAAGATTATAAATAGGGCAAAATTCCCAAGGTTCAAAAGAAAATGTTTTGGGGATTGAGAGGATACGCTGTCCATTTGATTGTATTGCCATTTCATTCTTCTGGATCACTTGCTTTGTTTTTACCTGGCTATCCACTCTTCTGTCAATCCAGATTATCAACTCATTGATTAATTTTGTCTCTTTAAGTAATATTATTATTATTGCTTATTTTCAACCCCCTATAAGTACATAGTACTAATTCATTCATAGAACTTTAATATTTTGAATCCTGTAAATTCACAAAATCTTGTACTAAGGGTTGATTTGAGAAGTGAGTTGGTTTTTAGAATTTTTAAATTATTTTAGCTTGGGTTAAAAAACTTGATTTGGGAAGGACTTTTTGACTTTTTAATTTTTTTGACTCTTTTTGTGAGAGAAGAGTGTAATGATTATAGGTTGAATGTGATTTTTGTTTGTTATGGCTAAAATAGCATATTTTGTCTTTTGTGACTATTTTAGCCAAAAAAATCCAAAAAACAAAGTCCAAAAAGCCTCTTCCCAAACAGAGGCTAAATGGAGTTAGATTTAGAACTGTATATAATAGGTTTGCTTAAAATAAATTATACAATATATTCATAATTTTAAATAAAGGTATGTCAAGATGAAAAGATTATGAGTAGATAAAGTTGATACCTTACAAAAATGTACATTCTTATCTTTATGTTTTTTTTTGAGACTCACCACTTTTTTTTTTTTACTTTTTTTACATATTCTTTTATAAAAAATCAAAAAATATATTTGTTTAGATCATTTCAAATACTCCCTTAGTATCAAAATAATTAACACGCTTAATTAAAAAAGTTGCATCATTGTTGATGTGTTTTGAACATAAACATATTACTTTTGTGTTTAGGGTGATGGTTAACTTTTTTTTTTATAGTTGATTTAATAGTTCTGACAAAAAAATATATATTTATGATTTGAATATGATATTTTTTTTATTGACTATTTTAATTTATTTTGTCTTTATTAATTATTTGAGAAATTGGTGATAAATCCAATCTAAGGAATGTGTAAGGCATTTGGTCTAATGAATATTTTTTGTTGGTAAAAGGGCACGTTTTGTAAAATGCACTACAACAAAAATAGTCTTTAGAGACGAAAACTAATGACGAAATTTTTTGTCACGATAAACGTATCTTTTAATGACGAAAATCATATTTCGTCTCCAAATGTACCATTTTTTGGAGACAAAAATAAAATTTCGTCACCAATCTAAATCATAATAAAAAAATTAGGTGACGAAATTATTTTTCGTCATTATTTATAATTTTTTTTGTCATCAAATATTTTCCCGCTAATATTTTCGGAGGGTGCCAAACTTTTGAGACTTTTAGTGACGAAAAAATTAGTCACTAATTATAAAATTATTAATGACGAATATATTTTTGTCACCAATAATTTTTAATATTTTAATATTATTTAGTGACAAAACGATTTTTGTGGCCAATATTTCTATCTTTGGTGAAGAAATAATTTTGTCACTAATAAATAATTTAGTTACTAAATATTTAGGGGGAAAAAAAATGTTTTGGCACCCTCAATTTTTTAGTCCAAAAAGACAAAAAAGTGCACTTTTTTAGTCTTCCCAAACTTGACCTTAGTGGCAATTCATGCTGATCCAACTTCCCAATGAGTGCATAATTTAAAGTTTTTGTAATATATTTTAATTCATAATAGGTTAGGTTTGGGAAGATGGTTTGTGATTATTGTAGTCACAAAAGACAAAATAAGTTATTTTAGTTGCAACAAACAAAATATCACACCTAATTCACAATTATTACATTCTTCTATAAAAAAAAAAAAAGTCAAAAAAATCAAAAAATCTTTACTAAATCAAACTTTTTAACTCAAATTAAAATAAAAAAAAAAAAAACTAAAAAGCTACCCTACTTCCCAAACAAAGCCATAGTAATCAAAGTGATTTACCTAAATAACCCTACTTCCCAGACAAAGCCATAGTAATCAAAGTGATTTACCTAAATAAAAAAAATAAGAAAGGCATGAACAGTTATGTTGTGTTTGGTTGAGGGATTTGAAGAGGAATTTGGAAAGGGAAAGGGAAAAAGTGTGTGAAATTATGTGAAATATAGGTATATTTTTTTTATATTTCACCTACCTTTTCCATTCCCCTTTCCAAATTCCTCCTCAAATCCCTCAACCAAACACAGCATTAAAGTACATTCCTATTCTACTCTACACACACATATCTATACATACATACACACATACAAAACACACCGACGATGCGCACTTCCTCTCTCTCTCTCTCTGCTACAACCCGACGACAGACTCCGCTCTGGCAAAGATTCCCCATTCTGTTCTTCTCTCTCTCTCTCTCTCTCTCTCTCTCTCTCCTTCATTTGTCTCTCTTTCTCATCTGAATCCATCCATCCCTATGTTCACGGCCATGTCTTTCTTGATTCCTCCGTAGTCTCTCTTTCACTCTCACGTACTCCTTAACGCCACTCTTTTTCACTTCTTCTTTAATCTGATCTTCATTAATAATAATAATGGGTTGTACAGGCTCCAAGCTTGACGACCTTCCGGCGGTGGCTCTCTGCCGTGAACGGTGTTCCTTCTTAGACGAAGCCATCCACCAGCGTTACGTCCTCGCTGAAGCTCACATGGCCTACCTCCACTCCCTCAAAGCCGTTGGTCTCTCCTTACACCGCTTCTTCTCTCAAGATCTCGCCAATCCCACGGCGGCGCCTCCCTCTCCGCTTCTCAATCTTCCCACCCAAAGAAAAGGTGACCCCCAAAACTCCGATTCCGGCCATCTTCACTTACCCTCCGATTCCGATTTCGACGATTCGTTATCCGGCTCTCCTCTCCACCACGACCACGACTCTGGCGATTCCGATTCCTCTCCCCTGCATTCCTATGATCAAATCAATTCGTATCCAGGAGGAGGTGCGTATGAAGGAGGAGGTGGGTTTATGAACATGAATTATATGAAGAATAAAGCGACTCCATCGGTGTCCTACGAGCAAAAACCGATGAGCCCAGAAACTATGCATATGAATGATGCGTCTTCCTCGTACTATCCATATCAGTATGCTAATCAAAACCCTAGTTCTTATCCGTATTATGGGTATTCAAATTATGGTGGCGGTTCGCCGTCGCCCTATGGTTCTTCTTCGTATCCTCCTCCGCCTTTGGGAGCGGCGGCGGAGGATTTCGAGGCCTCAACTTCGAAACCGCCTCCTCCTCCACCGTCGCCGCCGAAGAGTTCTGCTTGGGATTTCCTTTACCCTTTTGAGAGTTCTGAGAATTATTATTATACTTCGTACACGCCAACTCGTGATTTGAAGCAATTGAGAGAGGAGGAGGGGATTCCTGATTTGGAAGATGAGGATTTCCAGCAGGAAGTGGTGAAGGAAGTATACGCAGAACCGAAATTTGTGGATGGTGGTGGAAAAAAGCAAGCTAAAGCTGTGGTGGAAGATGAGGGCTTGAAGGCGAATGGATCGGATTCAGTATACCATACAAAGCCGATGATTGAGAATGATCCGGTGGAGTATGAGGTGCATATGGTGGGCAACAAAATTGTTGATAATGGAGAGACTTCAGGGGATGGGGGCAATGTGGCTACTTTCAAGGCTCGAGGTGGTGGTTTGACAGCTGACTCTGATGTCGTGATGGAAATTCAGGTTCAATTTGAGCGAGCTGCGGAGTCGGGGAGTGAGCTTGCAAAGATGCTTGAAGTTGGAAAATTTCCTTACAAGAAAAATGCTGTCTATCAAGGTAAAAAACCATACATGTCTGTAATTAATTGTAATTGATCTTTTAAGATAAAAATAAGGGTTCTTGCAAGTAGTTTGATTTTGTGCAATTTCTCTTCTCTAGAGCAATTGTCTGATAATTTTTAATTGTGTTGTTTTTGGTTGATCTGTGATAAATTAGTGGACAAACGTATCATTGTTTTGGTGGTTGAATTGATGGTTTTACACATTTTTTAAAACCATTTTGTATGAATTTGTGTTTATTTTGATGGGGTTTCTTTCATAAACACTTACCATTCAACTCTATGGAACTCTGTTAAACAGTTTCTGCCAAGATGTTGCATGTAATCACAACGCCTTCATTACCGATAGTATCATCACAGGCTTCTTCTTCTAAAACTGCCGATCCATCTTCTATTGAGAAGGCTGACCCTGCTTCCTTGGAAATTGATGATGTTGGGATGGGGTCTGGAAATCTTTCTTCTACCTTACAGAAGCTGTACCTGTGGGAGAAGAAACTATATGAAGAAGTTAAGGTATGTTGATGTCTGTTACTGACTTCCTCATGTTAAATGGCCCTTTCAGGGACAGTGATAAATTTGTCCAAATTGAATTATAAAAATTGACACAAAAATTCCATCCTAAAGGCCATATACTTTCTTCCCATCCATGTATTAAATTTTTTAGCTTGTGTTTATAGATTTTATTGGACTTGGTTAATACTCAAAAATCTATGGAGCACATAAATGGGTAGGGGTGTTGATGGAGGTATGTAACGTGTACACTGATACGGAATAACTGGAAAAAAGTAGGATACCTTTAGATTGTGGTATGTCCCTAAAAAGGTAAATTTTTATAACATGATGTAAAACAATTAGAAATCAAATGCAAAAAGTAGTTTAAGTCAGGTATAAAGTAGAGTTTAATGTCAATCGATAGAGGAAGATTATCGAGGGGGAGATACAATTGCTCCATCTGCGAAACTAAACAAAACCCTGTGTTCTCAGAAATTTGTGATATTTGCAAATGTACGCCTTTCTTCTTCTTCTTCTTCTTCTTCTTCTTCTTCTTCTTTTTTATGTCTTGTCGTGCCTTCTCTTTTTTTTTTTCTTTTTTTTTTTTAAAAATAGGCACAATGCGTTATTCAAGTACCCCTATATTTTATAAAAAATTGCATTTATGCTCTAACATACCCACAAAAGTACCCAATACGTGCCCCCATACTGTACCAACATTTAATTTTTTTAAAAGTACCATATACTTATTTCACATACTCAGTATGCTTGTAATTGTATTGATACACATATACTGGATATGTATCCAGTACTCGTAAGACTTAACTTTTGAAGTGCTGATTTTTCATATTACTCAATTTTTTGTTTAAAACATACAGCTTTTACTGTAGTACAGTGAAAGCTCAAAAAGTGTACTTTACATTAGAATTAACCTTTGCCAAACCCTACTAGAAGTGGGCGCCTCATACAATGTGTACAACCTTTTTATAGAATAATGTTTACATATTGTATGTAGATGTCTGTTAGCCTTCATTTGAGGCATTAGATGTTGATTCCATATTTATAGGTCATACATTTTCCTAATTGTTGCAAAAAAAGAAATTCACATTCCATGTTCTCATGGTTAAATTTTTCCCCCCCTCTAAGTTAAGGCATGACTATTAACCTAGGTTAAGGTGTGACTATTGACCTACCTTAAATTTATTTAATTTAATTTTTTTTTCCTTCTCTTTTCTTGTTTTGCCGATTTTAAGACACCGATACATGTCAATTCCGTATTTATAGGTCATTGATTTGTTTGATTGTTGGGGAAAAAATCACAATCCATGTTCTCAAGGGTTTTGATATGCAATTTTTTTAGTCTAGGAAGCACGGGTGCGGGTACGAGTACGGTACGGGTACGAGTGCGGGTACGCCGATACGGCAAAATCCCAAAAAAGTATGATACGGGTACGGCTGCGGTACGCCGATATTTATTTATTTTTTTTTATAATTATGGTTAAGGGATCCAACCTACAGGCAGATAACTTAAAACCATCGTTGAAATTAACCAATGTTGAAACAGGCAGATAACTTAACTTAACTCAAAGCCAATGGTTATGCATCACAAATTAATGCTCTGTTTTTCAGTTACAAAATCCTCATCACTCCCCCTCAAAATAAACAGCTACCAAAGAGAATTTAAGGTGTCAAGGGATTTTAAGTAATGCCAAAAATGACAATCTATGCAAACAATGCAAAATCCCAGTTGTTAGGTTTGTGTCTCGTCCACTCCTCCCCACACCCTGCTTTGGCAGGACCTGCCATACATTAATGGCCTAAATACATGTGTATATCCACACTAATGCAGCCAAAACAAGGATTGTCCCTAGAGTAACAGTATATGTGGATAACCATAGCCATATTTATGCAGCAAAATGTGATGTCCTGAACACGTGGAGGTGGAAGCTTGTAAATATGCCTCGTTCATCATTCTTGCTTCCCTTGCATCTTTGTTAAATGATTTTTCTTGCTTTTCAGGTTGAGGAGAAAATGAGGGTACTCCATGATAGGAAGTCCCGTAAGCTAAAGCGTTTAGATGAAAGAGGTGCTGAGGCTCACAAAGTTGATGTGACAAGAACACTTGTCAGGAATCTTTCCACAAAAATAAGAATTGCAATTCAAGTTGTTGATAAGATTTCTGTGAAGATAAATAAATTGAGAGATGAAGAGTTGTGGCCACAATTGAATGATTTTATTCAAGGGTATGTGATTTTATCAGTTTTGTATGAGCTCTTTTCAAGCATTCTGCATTTCTTCTTGTTCTGTGTCATATTACCTTAACAATCAGGTTCTTGAATGGTGTTTTGAGCGTTGGTGGATAGAGTTGTGAGCATTACCATTTGTTTGATTTTGTTTTGTGGTTTTTTTGGCTTTTGTTTGGTTCTTTGGGACGTGAATAACTGTCTTTCACTTAGTAGCAGGAACTTTCTACTTGAGTGGCATTTCTTACTAAGAAACACGATTCCATGCTCCCAAATAAGAAACTTGCTTCCGTCAAGAAAGAAACTTGTTCCCAACTAAGATAGAAATTTCTCAAACATATATATCTCATAGAAACAACACAAAAAACGATTCAGACTTATTCTAATAGTCTCTATTTATATAGTATTTTTCTATACTTAATAAAGACAATTCGTAGTTGATGTGAATCTCTAAGTGTGTAGATATATTTTTCTAAGTAATTTAGAAAAGTGACCGAATCTTTATGATTCACGATTTGACAACTATGGTTTGAATCACCAGAATTTGTAATTCAGATGACCCCTCTAATTTTCTCTTTAGGAAGTACTTGTTAGCACAAAAATGGCCATGCCCTTTTCATTTGATATATATATATATATAAAAGTTGGGCAAACTTCACTTTACTCCCTTGTGATTTGGGTCATGTGCAGTTTACCCTCCTAATGTTTGGAAATGACCACATAATCCCCACGTAGTTTGTGGACTGAAGTGCACCATTAAGTCCGTTAACGATTTAATGAAAAAGACTAAAATATCCCTATATATAAGTTACTTAGTGTGTGAACCACATATTTTCTTCATTTGTTTGGAAGGCAATGTGCACTTTAACCCCTTTTGCTTTATTCCATGTGCGATTTACCGCATTGAAGTTTGAAAATGAGCATATAACCCCTTATGTCTACTTCGTGAACACTTTCTGTTAAGTTTGACGGAATGTTTAACAGTGCATTTCAGTCCACAAACCACGTGGGGGTTGTATGGTCATTTCCAAACTTTAAACCGAATATGACCCAAACCATAGGGGTAAAGTGAAATTTGCCCAATAAAGTTGTCAACAAATAAAATTCTCATGCTTGCTTCAGAGTCTTTTACTGGTTTGTGTTGTTACATGTATGTGTTATTCCTCTCTGATTTCAGAGAATTATTTTGTTCAGAAAAAGTTAGCTGTGGGGAAGCTGGGAACTTATTTCTAAAACTTGACTACAAAACCAAACCAAACTAAATTAAGTCTTTTGTCCCAATCAAGTGGAGGCATCTCCATTTATGGTCGGTCTTGACTACTGTTCTTGAAAGAATGAATCAATGATTCTTTGTCTACTTTGTGGTAGAACTATAAGCAAAGAAGAAGGAAAAAAAAAGAAAGAAGTAAAATAGAGGAAAAACAATAAGAATATAAAAGATGCGGAAGATAATGTTGTTTCTCTCTGCTATCAAGTCCTCTTCATCCAGAGCAAGCTGTAAATTCTCTTGTGATCGCATCCTTCTAGCTTGCCAAGGTACTGGGATCGGCTTCAGTAGCATTGGTCTGCGAGCTAACAAGAATTATATGTCTCTGGTTGGAGGGCGTAATAGGCGTTAGAAATGTCTTGGCAGCTATCCAAGAAAGGCATGCCGCGGCACTTTATATCCGTTCTTAAGGTCATAATACTCTCTGTTACACTTTCCGGTGAGGTTTATAAGGGTGAGGTTGAACTGTTGATCTCTATGCTGCAAAATATATATTTTTTTTTGGGTGACACAAATAACTAAACGTCTGTAGCCTCTAGTGAAGACAATTGTTTGAGGAACCTGTGTCAGTTCATGCTACATGATCGTCGTGTTGCGTAGTCAATATTTTTTTAGAAGTATCCTGCTTTACTCTTTGTAATTAGATTATAAATTTTACATTCTTGTGACCACAAGTGGGAGACAATTTATTTAGTAACAAGATTATCAAGCATAAATTTTTGCACAACATTTCATGTCTTTCCAAATTTCTCACGTGTTTCCCGAAATACATCTTAGATGCTCGGTATCTTCGTCAAATTGAGACTTACCCTTATTTTTCATCTTTCTAAGCCTAACAGCACTCTCTTGTTTTAAATGCATTTTCTCTGCTCTAAATACTTGCAATTATATTAATACTTGCAAACTTTTCAAATATTTCTTAAATGTATTTATACTGTGACTTGTATAATTCTATTCAATTAACTAGTTACAGTATATATTTTCCTAGATGTTATGTTATTATGTCAGAGATTAGAAGTTCCTCGTGGATTAATGGCAGCAAATGCTAGAGTTTTTTTTTTTTTGGTTGACAAGTGGAATTACTAAAGCTAGTTATAAGTGGAAATTGTAATGTGATATGTTTTTGGGAGCCTTGACTGAGAAAATATTGGTTTTAGATGGATATGCTATGGAGGAAGAAATTGCCAAATGTTCTACTTTTATCAGTTTGCATTTGATAGATGAAGGGGGAACACATTATCTGACCATAGAATCAGTGTTATCAACAATTTCCCTTTTACGACTGCTAGTCACCTTGGGGATGACTGGCAGCTAATTTGAAATTGTATGGTTTGCAGGCAATCATATAATTGCATTGGCAGCAATGGATGTCGGTAAACAGCAACTTGGGATTTTTTCTTAAGTTGTTTAATAACAAGTTATTTGGGTTCAACTTGTATATGTGTGAATTTCTTGAAGAAATGAACTCAATATCTTTGGATGTGGCTTATTTTGGTCTTGTGAAGAATTATAAAAATCTTATACGTGATTTCGGTTATGACTGAATTATGTCTTCATAATTTGGTGTATTTCTTTCTTGGGGCACTTCAAATACTTGGGATATGTATGATTATGGTTAATTAGGTTAGCACTAGTTTGTGAAGTTTATTTTATTTAGTCCATTTACTTCCAACCCCCTCGCCCGGGCCAGTTTCTTGATTACTTGCTTTTGTTGATTGGATGTTTGCAAGGAAGGTCTTTGTTTTTAACGCAACCCGCTTTTCATGAGTATATATTGCATCTTCGTTTTAGTCATTTTCTTTTTTGCTTTCCCTGTTTTTATGGTGCCTGGCAGTCATATTTATGTATCTGTATATATACTCCACAATCAACTTCAGTAAGTTGAGGAGTGATCCTTCTCTTTTCGTTGTTGGAGAAAAGGTTGTAGGGATGGGGAGGGTTGAGTTGACTAGGAGAAAGAGCTGTTTGATCACTCTGCAATTGCATTTTTTTAATTATATATATGTATAGGTTATTATTACTATTTTCTGTTTCATCTTCCTTATTTGACACTTCAAACTAAACTAGTACATCATCGTGGGATCTATAAAGGCCATGTTGTCCTTTATGCTTAGGTTCTTTTATTTGTTTATGCTATCTTATTTTGACGGTTGAGTATGTGGATTTTGTCGATTAATAGGTTAACCAGAATGTGGAAATCCATGCTTGAATGCCATCGTAGTCAATGCCAAGCTATTGTACAAGCTAGACGATTAGATGCCGTTACATCCCTCAAACACTTCAGTGATGCGCATTTTGAAGCCACATCGCAGCTTGAACACGAACTTCTTAGTTGGACATTAAGATTCTCTTGTTGGGTTGGTGCCCAGAAGGGTTATGTCAAAGCACTGAATAACTGGCTTCTGAAATGTCTAATATATGAACCTGAAGAAACAGATGATGGAGTTGCTCCCTTCTCTCCCAGTAGAATAGGTGCGCCTCCTGTTTTTGTGATCTGTAATCAGTGGTCACAAGCATTGGAGGGAATTTCTGAGAAAGAAGTGGTCGATTCTATGCGAGATTTTGCCACAAGCGTGCTTCAGCTCTGGGAGCGGGATAAGTTGTTGATGCGCCAGAAGATGATGGCGAACAAGGATACGGAGAAGAAAGTTAAGATCTTGGACAGGCAGGGCCAAAAGATACAGAAGGAGATTCAGGCATTGGATAAAACGATAATTCTGGTCTCTTCTGGCAATAATGGTCTTCCCGTGAGTGGGCATGTGTATCAGAGCGACACTAGCAAAACTGGTAGTCTACAGCTGAGTCTGCAACGTATTTTTGAGGCCATGGAGAAGTTCACTGCAGACTCCTTGAAAGTATACGAGGACTTGTTGAAACGCATTGAGGAAATTAAGAAGGATAGTCGAGATACTGTTGATCAGGAGAATGAGAATGTTTCATAGCGTTGCATTCTGAACTAAAATTGCTGCATCTATTTTGAGTAGGTGATTTGGTTCAGTATGTGCAGTCCCATTGAAAGATCATTTGAGGCTTGAGATCATTGAGGCACAAATCATTGAAGTTAAAAAAAGCTACACTCTTGTTGGACAATATGTGCTCCTATTGCTTTGATTCTGCAGTAGAATGGATGCCTGCTGCTTCAATCAATTCTCACCATCATTGGCCAAGGGGAGAGTTGGGTGTTGAAGTTATGGCAGTGTAACTAATATCTGATCTGCATTGGTGTCTTGTACATGGGGTGAAAGTCTCGGTTGAAGTTGTACGCAGTAAGAAGTGGCCTTGACATGCCATACTTGATGATGATGAGAGGAGAGGATTCAGAGATAGCTTGCCATATTGGGCAATGCTTGCTAATCTTCGAGCTGCTGTTGCTGCTGTGTGAAACATTGATGCAGGCTTGCTGTAGAATCGACTGTCCATTTTTTTGGAGATCTGGCACTGAAATGAGCTTTGCATGGAAAGTGATCGTTTGTGCACGTGGCATGGAGTCCTTTGGCCAGGTAGATTTTACTTCAAATTTTGCGTTAGGATGACTAATAGATGAGGTATAAGTTTGAGGCATATGGGCTGTTTAGTGACGCAAGTCATGGAATTGCCCAAACATCAGATCTTGTAAAATAGGATAGAAACATTCTTCTTTCTCAATAATTTTGTTAAATTATTATTGTACAGAGTTCTTTTTGTTACAGAAACATATTGTAGATACCCTCAATAGAGTGGTGTTAGACGGATGAAATTAAATTTTTTCAATTGAAGTGAGTGCCTTCTTTGGAGCCAGTAGTGCTGGTATTTACACGGACACCCCAATTTATATCCTTTGTGCCCTAAAGCAGGAGCACCAACTCAACACCAACGATGTTGGGTGCTTTGCATTCTGCGAGATCTCTATAATTATTGGTTATTTTTTTATTTTTTATTTTTTGGATTAAGTTGTGGAGTTTGAAATTCACATGAGTTTAAGAGTGAGATTGAGAAGGTTTATAGAGGTGTGGGAGAGACGAAAACATACCCGGGATATTGTGTGTGAAGCAGGGAACCAAGTGTGGCTTTGAGGCTTAATTACCCTCAAGGAAATTGGAATTATTTCGGACTAGGGCATTGGTGGAGTTTTGAGTGTCTCAGTTTGTACTCTCTACTGTATATGGTGGATTTCTCTCAACTTGAAACGGAGGTAGGTTTGTGTCATTTGTGAGGTGTGTTTTGTCTGAAGTTTGTACTCTCTTTACCATATATTGTGGATTTCTCTTTCAACTCTAAACATAAGTAAGTTTGTGTCGAACTATATAAAATCTCTTTTTGGGTGTGTTGGTTTTTGTGGGGTTTGGTTGGTCGGCAACATCATGTGTGGGCTATTTTCTTCAAACAAATTTTGTTCTCTTCTGGGATATGAGGGGATTCTCTTGGAATAATTGAGATATACATCTTATCCTTAACACACTCTCAATTCTAAGAAATCTTGTGATCTAAAAAGACAGAAAAAGGTGTTTGATGTGTTTTGCCGACATTGTTGGGAGTTCCGTAAATGAGATGAAATCTGTGATTTGCGATTGTCAGCACTAAAACTAAATTGGGTACACCAGCAGCAAGTGTGAATGTGAAGAAAAATGTCCACTTTGAAGGGCTACATCTGGTATTAGGACCATATCATATTTCTTGACATCATATCCAATCCCAGCGGCTTGTCCTTTTTTGATTGTAGGTGTGGGCCTTTTGGCTCAAAATTGTAAGTGAAAAGTTGATTTTTATTGCATGATATAATATATTATATTTGACGGCTTGTATAGTCAGCTATGTTTGCTTATAAAAGCAAAGCATGTTGCTGAATGAAACTTGTACTTCTGCAATAAAGAAGAGATACTTATTTCTTTTTTTCAATATCTCTTGTTTTTTTTTTCATATATATTATTATAACACATTATCAGTATGAGATTCTGATCGGTTAAGAAGGAAAAGTTGAATCACGTACAAATAAAGTTGGTGTGGTCATTCTACATCGTGGTTGAGGTAAATATAAATAAATTCTGAATAAATATTTTATAAGAGCGATTCATGATAAAGTTAATTCTATATTTCTACATTTTTCTTAATATATTCACGTAATACTAAATATGTTATTATTGTTGTGTTGAGTGCATTAATATGTCGAATTTTCAAATATTAGAATTCATAGCTCTTGTTATTCAAAAAAAAATTATTTATCTTGGATCCTTGATGTTGAGATCCACCTTGAGGCAATGGGTCTTGAAGATACCATTAAAAATGAAAATGAAGCATCCCTACTAAATTTGCGCAAATGCAACGATATTCATTCGTCACTATCTCCAAGAAGAATTAAAACTGAGTACCTCATGGTAACGTATTCACTTATTTTGTGGAATAATTTGAAGGAGAAATACGAGATTCACTTATTTCATAGAATAATTTGAAGGAGAAATACGAGTATTAGAAGATCGTAATCCTCTCAAAAAGCTCCCTATAATTTATTGCACCTGAAGTTACAAAATTATGAATCAGTTACTGAGTACAATCTATAGAGGGTTCATTTAGGAAGTGGGTTAGCTTTTTGACTTTTTGACTTTTTTAGCCTCGTTTGGGAAGGGCTTTTGACTTTTTTGTGAGAGAAAGAATGTAATGATTATAGGTTGGATGTGATGTTTTGTCTTATTGGGTTAAAAAGCCTATTTTATTTTTTTGTGACTATTTTAGTCAAAAAAGACCAAACCCTCCCTTTCCAAACGAGCCCCGAATATGTATTGAAATTTTCACGCTGATAATATGCTCCTGTGGTAGCAATATAAAGAGTGTTGATCTAAAAAGTACTTTGAACTGATTTCACGCCTTCTTGTGGCTAAACAAACTAAGCAACTTTTATTGAAAAATCATCAACCCGCCTTACTGGCATGCTTCATTCCCTGAAATGAATGGGGTTGCATTTCATGGTCGTGGACGAATGAGAAGTCATGGTTTTGGACATGGCTAAGGTAAAATACAGAATTCGTAAGGATATATTCAGAAATATTTGAGCAAAAATATCATGCCATTTGACCTGAAGTGGAATAATCCTAAAATATCACAAGAAAAAGGAAAAAATTTACATAATAGAACTTCCCAAGAGTGATGCATATATGTATGCATGTATTCATATTGCATATTGCATGGCAAACAAATATGCTAGAAAAGAGAGTGATCACTGTGCATAAATAATCAATATTCATCTTTTGACAAATTTTACCGGATAATTCACTATTCATCATTGTGCATTCTTTTTGGAAATTTTCTCAAAAAATACTATTCATCAATAGTATTTTACTATTGAAGTCTTTTTCACTTGGAATGTTTGCCTTTTGGGTTACAAGTCTCAATGCTATATTTAGTAGACAGTATAAAGACACCCACAATTCTTTGTAATGAAAAATATTTGATGATGACAAAAGCTAGTGTAAAATCCCAAGTTCTGCAAACTTGATTGAAAGCTTTGGAAGAGCCAATATTTTAATTGTCAAACGAAACAAAATTTGATAATGGTAAAATATATTCTACCGGATCCATAAGACATCTGTTAAGTTTTAAAGATATGTGTCGTATTGGTTATTGAAACCATAAATAAAGGTAAAGAAGAATATTTACATATTACTTAGCCAGAAGCTAGTCTTGAAAAGTTTCTAGATAATTATATGGGTTGTCTTATACGACAATGAAAGCAATTGAATCAAATGTTGAGACACACTAGAATTGCTCCAACTTAATGCACCAAAAGTGTTATAATCCAAAAAGCTTTCATGTTAGGGCATGATTGTCCTGAGCATTCGGGATCTATAATGATCCATTGAATTATTGAAAATTCAAATGGGACATCCATTAAAGAATCAAAAGATTCTTTTACCAAGTGATTATCAATTAAGTGATTATCTATGCTCTACCTATTCACTGGGAATATTAATTGTTAGACTATCCCATTCATATCAATATGGATTATTCGTTATTTCATGATTTTGATAAATACATTAACTAGATAGTCTCATTCGTAATGCAACTTTTAATGATTATTGCATACCTATTAGTATTAATATCAAGTATCCTACTGCTCATGTTCATACTCAAAATAGTGTAGTTTAAAATTTAATTAAATAATTTCAGTTGATGGCTCAACCTTTAATTATGAAAAATAATTATCTATTTCAACATGGGGTTATGTAGCCCAACTGTATACATGAGTACTCACCATTATAATTTGTATTTGATCACCTATCAAATGTTATTTATTTAGAATATTTGGTTATGCTGTATATGTTTCTATTGCACTCTTTTAGCACAATAAAATGGGTCCTTAATGTAAATTTGAAGTTTATGTTAGTGTTGATTCTCCATCCATTATTAGATATCTTGAACCCTTAATATGTGATGGATTTAGAGCATGCTTTGTGGATTGTCATTTTGATGAAACGGTCTTCCCATCATCAAGGGGAGAAAAACTGCAGCTTGAAACTCGACGTGAAATCACTTGAAATAATTCAATGTTATCTTATCTTGATCTTCGTACTAATTAATGTGAACTAGAAGTTCAAAGGTTTATTTATGTGTTAAGTTTAAGCAAATCAATTACCGAATGCCTTTACCAACACTAAAAACATAATAAAATCTTATATTCTAACTGCTAATGCTCTATGAAGAATTGATGTTCTTGAAGGACAATCTGCTAGTATAGCTGTAAATGTGTCGAAGTCACGCCAGAAGCGTGGTAGACCTGTCAGTGCAAAAGACAAAGTTTATTGAAAGAAGAAGACAATTGGTACTCTTGAAAAGACCATATCTAGTGCTTTTGAAAAGGCTATATCCACCTCCTGAAGAGATGTTCCAGAAGAGACTATATCTAACACTCTTGAAGAGGCTAGACCCACAAAATAGACTATTATAAATCTATTTAAATCTCCTACTTATAAATCTCCTAAAGCAGAACCTCCAGGAATCTCCTAAAGAGTTATCCCCTAAAGTGGAATCTCCAGAAGGGTTATCCCCTGAAGTGGAACCTCGTGAAGAGTTATCCCTTGAAGTGGAAAAGTCACCTGAAAATAATGAGATCTTAATACATTATATCAGTACATGAGATATATGGGATAGAAATCAAACTATTGTTGACAACATATTTTCATTCAAAGTTGCTCTTGACATTACCAAAAGTAATGCTGAAAACATTGTCAAAAGTGATGATGACATTGAACAACGAACTATTGATGAATGTCGATAGAGAAGTGATTGACCAATGTGAAAAGAAGCAATACAAGCAGCGCTAAACTCACTTACAAAACGTGAAGAATTTAGACCTGTAGTCTAAACCCCTAAAGGGATACAGCCTGTGGGATATAAATGGATGTTTGTTCGAAAATGCAATAAGCAAAATGAAATTGTAAGATATAAAGCACACACTTGTTGCACAAGGTTTCTCGCAGAGACCTGGTTTTGACTATGAGGAAACATATTCACCCGAAATGGATGCAATTACATTCAAATTTTTTATTAGCTTAGTAATTATAGAAAATTTAGATATGTGTTTAATGGATGTAATTACAGCATATTTATATATATCCCTAGATGGTGATATACATGGTATGTGAAAACATGATAAGTAATAATAGAATTTAAGAAATTGAATCCCATTAACAGAATTAAACAATGAATCGATTATTCAGAAGTAACTCTTCAGTTAGCTCTAGATCATCCTCTACAATCTTAGCTCCTATTCCAAATACGGAATTAGTAATTAATGAGGAAGAAATTGA